ATTTTATCCTGTTAAGTTCCCCTTATTCTTAGTCTCAGTGTTTTTAAAACAAAAGGATGTTCATTTGGTCAAATGGTTTTGTTCTTAGTCTTAGGAATAGGGTTTTGTTCTTCATTCTATTGATATGTGTATTGCATTAAGTGATTTTCGGGTGTAAAACCAACCTTGCCTTCCTGGGATAAATCCCACTTGATCTATATAAATGTATAAGTTTGTCTCTTTTTGATGGATTCGTCTTTTTTATTTTTCTAAAAGTCTCTCTTCATCTCTATAACATTTGTTACTTTAAAGCCTATTTTGTCTGTTATTTGTAAAGCTCCTCCACCTTTCTTACCCTATCGGACGTGTGTATATCTTGTTTTCTCCCTTCCCTTTCGACTTGCTTATATATTTGAGTCTAAAAGCCTGTCTTCTGCAGACAGCATATATAATTTTTTAAAAGAGATTTTTGCTATAGGGCATGTACACTCACCAGAGAGACAGAAAGACAGAAAGCGAGATATCACCCCGTGGGAGGACAGCATGCTGCAATCCATACTCCTCCCTTCTCCTCTTGGGATCTTGAGCATGCATGCACATGCACCTGACGTGAATTTTAACCTGCCAGGTCCAGGACTTGAACTGCGGTCAACTACATGGGAGTCCAGTGACATAACCATTACACTATTTGCTGGTCCCATGGAATTTTTAAAATGGATGTCTTAGATAATATCGTGTAGTATTTCCCGATACTGATGCCTCTCTTATCCCCGACTCCAGAGCGTTTTGTTTATTAGTTTAGAGACTCAGCTGGACTCCGTCAGTGAAGTCTATTTCCCTGCAGTCTTTGTGAGTCCTCCTTACTCAGAGCAGCCTTGAGCACGTGCTCATCATCGCTTACCCCATATTGTTCTTCCTTGGGGGACAGTGATTTTAGCCGAGTCGTCTTTGACTCTTTCCTTCACTGACCTGCTCCAAGCTTCCAGCACTGACATCACATCAGCTGTCAGGCCCAGTAACTGCCCGCGGGATGGTCTATTGTTTGTAACAGTACCTTGCTCCACAGCCTGGTCCAGTGAAAGGCAGCCCCTCTGCAGGGCAGTCTCTGAGGCTTGCTCGGACCTCAGGCGTGCTCCTCAGGGCTCGCGCTGACCTTGGCTCTTTGCCTGGTTCGTCTTGGGCTTCCAGTTGGCTGACTCTTTCACTTGCTGCTATTGAGGGGCTACTTCTTCCTTGCTCACAAGATAAATCTCCATTTCTTCTTTTTTTTTTTTTCAGTGTCCTTAAGCTTGAACTTCTCTGTATTTGTTTCAAATAAAGCCAGTCCCCTTAGAGGTGTCTCCAGAGTAGCTGTGCTCCTGTCTGTGCCTCCTGTCTGTGGCAGAGCCTCCGTTCCTCTGCTCTGGAGGTGAGCACGGGAACAACAACCGGTTTCTCCTAGAGGGACACTGCTGTCTGGGTGAGGTTCTGTGCAGCGCTGCCCCACAGCCTCTTGTGGTATTCCTCCTGGTATGAAAACTCAGTCTTAAGAGCAAGCTCAGGTGAGAGTGACTGGAGCCCAGAACCTCAGTCCTGCTCTGCCTGGGGTGGAGTTCCGTTCTGTGGATGGGGCTGTGTGGAGAAAGGGGGGTCTCAGTCACATGTGCCTGCAGTAGAGCGTGCTGGGCTGAGGTAGGGTTGGTAACATATGGACAGGCTGGCTTCTCTGGGGAGAAACCGTAGCTCTAGACTTGAATCTGGGGCTAGAGGGAACCCCATCACCCCCCTCATTCATAGTGGAGTTTTCTTCATGCCGAGCTTGGGGTGTGTGTGTGTGGGGGTGGAACAAGTAGTGCCACAGACCCCGGCAGTTCTTCAATTTTCGTATAAACTTTGGACAATTTCTAGAGCCCAAATGGTTGCTTTATATTTATGTATTTATTTGTAGGGGGAGCAGAACAAGTAGTGCCACAGACCCTGGCAGTTCTTCAAGTTTCGTATAAACTTCGGACAATTTCCAGAGCCCAAATGGTTGCTTTATATTTATGTACTTATTTACTTAAAAAAAAAATACAGACAGGGTTTGCTGTAGTGATTGTACTGCCTCAGCCTCCCAGCTGGGACAACACATACACCCCAAAACCAGCTCTTTTTTTAGACCCCAGATAGGGTGCTGCGTGCTGCCCAGGTGAGCCTTGAGCATGGGATCCTCCTTCCTCGGTCTCCGGAGTCCCCAGCGCTGCAGACACATGCCCCCGCGTCCAGTCTCTATGTTGGGCTGGGACTCGAACCTGGACCTCGCTGTGGTCCCAGGCTGTGGAGCAAGCATCGGTGGAACAGGAACCACCATAGCTAAGTCACTGTTACACTGAATCACTCTCAGTCCTTGTGATTTCCCTGAGGAGAGTCTAGGGAGCTTCTTATGCTGTTGTGCTGGAAGCGCTTCACCCTTGCTTCCTCTTTCC